TCTCATGTAGTTGGTTCGGTTGACCTCGTGAAAATATCCCTAAGTTCACGTCTCATCGATTCGGTAGCGTCTTTGCCACCTCCCCCCATTAGTTTGGTTGACCTTGAGCTAGTGTCTTCGGCTGGCACTTGAAACCCAGTATCCAACGAGCGATAGTTGAAATTTGATTCCTGATACCTGGTGCTCGGTATTCGATATCTGATATCTGATACTTGGTACCCAATACCTGATATATGATACTTGAAAACCCGTGACCGATACTTGAAACTCGATATCTTGATACTAGATACTTGGAATTCGATACCTGGTACCCGATATCTGATATTTGATACTTGAAACTCGATACCTGATATCTGATACTTGAAAACCCGTGACCGATACTTGAAACTCGATATCTTGATACTAGATACTTGGAATTCGATACCTGGTACCCGATATCTGAAATTCGATATCTGATACTTGATACTTGAAACTCGATACCTGATATCCGATACTTGAAAACCCGTGACCGATACTTGAAACTCGATATCTTGATACTAGATACTTGGAATTCGATACCTGGTACCCGATACCTGAAATTCGATATCTGATACTTGATACTTGAAACTCGATACCTGATATCCGATACTTGAATCTCTATATCTTGATACCTGATACTTGAAACTCGATACCTGATATCCGATACTCAATGAAATTTACAAATTGAAAAATTGCTTTTCAGAATTCATCCTCAAGCGACATGGATGGCAATGAGTTCTAGATTTCCGTTTCCTAAATTTTCCGCTGAATTTTGCACCTCTTTATTCACGGCACAAATGATTGCACCGCGTTATCGTAAACGAATTGTTCGAGATAAAAGATCCAGAAAACTGATGGCACGATGCGATCGCAAACAAGCGATGTTTGATACAATTGTTGAACGTCAGGCTACACTTTGGAGGTGAAAAGGACGGAAACATAACGAAGCCATTAGCGGTTGGTCAGTCATCTACTTTATATAACAAATTATCGGGAAATTAATTGAACTGCTTTGTTATCCCGTTTGTTGAATAAATAATGACACAAATGTTTTGGAATTTATTCATAATATTGTTAATAAATAAGAACATGCAAATAAACTGGAAATATTTACTTTATGGAAATAATAAAATAAAAACAATTTTCCCATGCCCTAAATTTATTGAAAATCTAAATTATGAACGAATAAGCGTTATCCAAAGTCTGGTTAGTTAATTGAGCAACGAACTTCACTCCATTACCACTTCAACAAAACACGGCGTAATGGAGAACAATGCTTAATTAGTAATCAATCTGAACATCATCTGCTTCATCATCTCGGTAACAAATCATCTTCCACAACATTACACAAGAAGATCTTTTCGACATCCAAGAATCCAGCCAACTGTAACCAAGTATATGGTCTCTCAGTTTCATCATAGTAACCGCTTCTTTGAACCCAAAACTTCAAAGTAACCTCCCCGTCTCGACTTCCTGCCCCAATTTCACGAAGTCGGGTCAACTATATCATCAGGCTCGTACTCGACATATTACAAACTGATCCCAAATTTCTTGGAATCAAAACCCAGTTAAAATTTGTTTCTCTTTAAAATAAAGGGATTTTCTGGTTTGTTCATTTATATATTTAATAATAGCGACTATGTGTGCTTCTCTATAGTTATCAATGCTCTTTTGAATTATTTATTACAAAATAAAAAAATTGTTATATTTTTCTAACTTGAAGTATCATCAGACGACTGATGGTATCAAGGAAATAACAAAGTCTGTAGATAGATTTTGGTCTACAAAATGAGTTCCATTTCCTCGGTACAAGGTTTCCCTTTTCATGCCACGACGTTCTGCTACTTTCTACCCGACGAATGAGCAACGCGATCCGGTTACAAATATGTTAAGTGCATCTTGAAACGGCAGTGAGCACGCGACAGCCATGCGGAACATTTTTTTCGTGAATTATTCAAGAAGTTCGGAGGATGAGAATCGATCCGGAAACGAGGAAGCCAGACGATGAACACGAAATGTTGCTCGAGTAAATAACTTAACTCTTTGCCCCACGATTTTGCGAAGCATCGTGACGTTTGAAATACGCGAGCAATAAACTGCACTATTTAAATCATTTCTTGGTGCGAGTAGATAGATTTATGTAGTTTTTTAATATTCCTCTGGTTGGCTATGTTATTTTGGTTGACATCTGATATGTGATACTTGAAACCCGATATCTGATATCTGATACTTGGAACCCGGTATACAACTCTCGATATTTGACACCTCATGCCTAATACTTGATATCTGATACTTGGAACCCAGTATCAGTCACCCGATATCTGATATCTGATACTTGACACCCAGTATCAGTCACCCGATATCTGATATCTGATACTTGGAACCCGGTATACAACTCTCGATATTTGACACCTCATGCCTAATACTTGATATCTAATACTTGGAACCCAGTGTCAGTCACCTGATATCTGAAACTTGGAACCCGGTATACAACTCTCGATATTTGACACCCCATGCCTAATACTTGATATCTGATACTTGAAACCCGATATCTGATATCTGATACTTGGAACCTGGTATACAACTCTCGATATTTGACACCTCATGCCTAATACTTGATATGTGATACTTGGAACCCAGTATCAGTCACCCGATATCTGATATCTGATACTTGGAACCCGGTATACAACTCTCGATATTTGACACCTCATGCCTAATACTTAATATCTGATACTTGGAACCCAGTATCAGTCACCTGATATCTGATATCTGATACTTGAAACCCGATATCTGATATCTGATACTTGGAACCCGGTATACAACACTCGATATTTGACACCTCATGCCTAATACTTGATATGTGATACTTGGAACCCAGTGTCAGTCACCCGATATCTGAAACTTGGAACCCGGTATACAACTCTCGATATTTGACACCCCATGCCTAATACTTGATATCTGATACTTGAAACCCGATATCTGATATCTGATATCTGATACTTGGAACCCGGTATACAACTCTCGATATTTGACACCTCATGCCTAATACTTGATATCTGATACTTGGAACCCAGTATCAGTCACCCGATATCTGAAACTTGGAACCCGGTATACAACTCTCGATATTTGACACCCCATGCCTAATACTTGATATCTGATACTTGAAACCCGATATCTGATATCTGATACTTGGAACCTGATATACAACTCTCGATATTTGACACCTCATGCCTAATACTTGATATGTGATACTTGGAACCCAGTATCAGTCACCCGATATCTGATATCTGATACTTGGAACCCGGTATACAACTCTCGATATTTGACACCTCATGCCTAATACTTAATATCTGATACTTGGAACCCAGTATCAGTCACCTGATATCTGATATCTGATACTTGGAACCCGGTATACAACACTCGATATTTGACACCTCATGCCTAATACTTGATATGTGATACTTGGAACCCAGTATCAGTCACCCGATATCTGATATCTGATACTTGCAACACGGTATCCCGACACCTCATACCTGATACTTGAAACCCTGTGTCTGATACCCGATACTTGAACCTCGATATCTGATACCCAATTATATGAACAACTAATGTGATACAATTATTTAACGCAAATAAGTATTATTCTCATATTACCATAATTCTGAAAAAATTAATCCGGCTACCAATCCGATTACACGAAATAATTGTAACGGTGGTTGAACTTACAATAATCGAGTTTCAATTTCCCCACAAGAAAACATAATTTAATTAAAATATCGCGATCAATTCGTGCGATAGAAATCATGGGAATAAAGAAGTGTTGAAAGAAAGTTCGTTGAAAATTTCCTGATCAATCGGGAAAGGAAATCGTGGCTGTCCAGCACCAAACGATTCTGTATTTCTCTTTCCTGCCGTTCGATCATTCAATTTCGACGGACAATGTAGCGTTCCATACGGGAAGCGGAAGTAATCTGAGGGGTTGGCCTCTTCCATTAAAATCTGGGTCGACTCTTCACTCGAAAGGGAAGGAGGGTTAGAAGACAGACGTTTCCAATATCCGCGACAGGTGAGAACTTCCTAGGCGCGAAATTAAGTGGCTAAAAACCGAACGAACTCATCGACATTCATGGAATAACTTCTTTTTACGAAAACAACAATTAATTTCCATTAATAATAAAACTATCAACACTATTGAAACTAATTAACGAACTGTCAGAAAACGTGGCAGAAAAATTCTACGAAGAGCAGGGGATATTGGAAATGATGGCTGTTTGTCGAGTACTAAAAGTAGACGAAAGTAGAACTCTTTCGCCATATTTTCCCGCAACAGAGGTCTTTAGTTCTTCAATAATTATTGAAGGTTCAAGAACTTGTTAAATATTTACTTCCACAATTCCGGTGGACTGTTTACACATCCTTTCTCGGAAATGCAGAAACTAAACGTTTCGTTTGTAGAGCTCGAACCTAATAGGAAGAACATGAATAATTAAAACGTATAATTCGTTCGTTTGAAAATATCCTGCCGAAGAAATTCAGTTCTTTTCTAAGAGGTCAGCGGAACATGAGAACTTCAAATTAACGTGAACTTTCCAATTTTCAATCCTTTGACGGATAAGAGATTACGCAGATTACTCTGTTGAATTGAAAATTAAACGTAAAACCATAAGACACGAGGTGCCCCCTTGGATATTAAGGGGATGAAATAGTCACATCTCTTTACTGCTCGACGTGGGCTTAAGTCTGAAACCTTTAGCGGATTTAAAGACATCATAAAGAGATCCGATTCATCAGAATACCTTTTAGATTAATTCGTTGAAACATTGTTAAGTTTCAAAAATCCGATTCTTTCCCAAAAACTAAAGGGTTTTAAAATTGTGTAAGCTCGTTTACAGTTTGCATACCGAGATACGTCGACTTATTAGTTATGAAATTCTTAAGTGACCTAATCCAACGCAACGGTAAATAATAAAAATATCACGTACCCCGACTGAATTGATCATTATTCGCTATCACTCTTTCAGCATTCTTCCTAGCAATATAGAACCACTCGCTGCTGTTGGTCAGGTACTTATACTCGATCGCCAGATCCTTCACCAGGATCCCATCCTGGTCCTGCAGCCGATGGGCGAAGGGACAATAGAGCCAATGATCCCTGTACTGCAATTTATCGTAACAATTCCCAGCAGCGAAGATGTCTTCGTCAAATTCGACCATTGACAAAATACTGGCATGCAGCAGGTACTCCGAGGAAAGCATCACTTCCGGCGCATACTTCCACAGTCTAGTCAGCATGTTTGCCCTGTTCACCGCGAGATTCGCTTCGAGTTTGAACCTCTCTTGGGCGTACTGGTCGACGATACCCTCCCCCAAATTAAGATCCGTCCCAGCGGTGCAATTTTCACCCAGAAGATGTTGGTTCTCGATGATCCGAAGGAACCTGGTGACGATGTCCACGTGGACAGGCTCTTTGCTAGGCCTATCCTGATCACCCTTGCCCCCATAGTCTTCGTAATCCTCTCGTTCCGAGTTATTCCTGCCACTGTCGTTATCGCCGTATAGGTCGTAGTCCTCGATGATGGCTATTTCCACGTCGTCCAGCTCGTTCCTGTCAGGTGCACCATGGACGATGTGACCGTATACGTCCGTCATATTTCCCGCGGTTTTGTTCCCCAATACTCGGGACCTGTTCCTAGCGATCACCTTCTTAAGTTTCTTGAAGGCGTCGCCTTTGTGGCGTACCGGGGTGTTCCGGGACTTGCCCTCCTTAGCTGCCTCGGACAACCTGGTGAGCAATTTGTCCAGGTCCACCGTAGATCGTTCATCGATAGTGCCGGACGATCTGAGGTCCTTCGCCAGAATGACCAGACCTTCGGACCTGTCCGACCTGACAACACCCCCTTTCTCTAACGGATCATCCTTGTTCGTCCCCTCAGAGTCGGGCTCGTCCAGTTTAGCCTGTCTAGCGAAGTGGCTCCGGGAACGACTGTGCCTGATCTGCGTGATCGGTCTCTCGATACTGGTTTCCAGTATGCCTCGACGAGACGGCTGGTTTTCCGATTGGTTTTCATCGGGTAATCGATCGTCCAGGTGTACAGAAAGCTCGGTAGCCTCTTGCATCTCCGGTCTGTCGACCAGCCTACGCTCGATGAACGAGGGTAGGTGATTCTGCTGGTGACGTAACAGTTCCTTAGGCCTCTCGATCTGCGCCTCCTGGTCAGCGAAGTCAGCCAAAACCGGCGACCACGTGACCAAAACGAGCACGTACCAACGGCACGGGACACTCATCTTGGATCGTTCTTCGCAGCCATCAAGGGCAACAAGCTGTGGGGGATTTCTGGGTACCAGTTTACGTCATGATGTCGGAAGCCAGGCCCGGGCTAGATCTCGCTGCATTTCACTCTGATACCCGTTTGCCGTCGTTCAGCAAACTTTTCGTCTGTCCGTCACATCTTAACGGTCGCGTCGATCGCAGGTGTCCACCTGCAGCGATCCCGCGGATAAACGCACTCGGTACGACGACGTGCCGGATGTCCACTGATCCCTACCCGAACTGTTCATCGTAATTTATGTATGTCCTGCGTTTGTTTACTAATGTCGCTGTGTCGCGTGGCTCCTGTTTCGGGAGTTTCAAGTGGCATCATCGGATTTCGAGTAGCGGACCTGGATCGTCTCGCGGTTCATCGTTCTAGACGGACGCGGGAATTAAGCGGGAGGAAGGGGGATGAAACGTGACTCGATCGAGATCTCGGACACAGAACGCGCCGTGATCGTTTCGCGCTCGCACGCGGCGCCAGACTGAGGGTTGAAACTTGTGTCTACTGTCTGGCGTCCGACCGCCAGTTCGCTCAGCGCGCATGCCTTTCGCGCTTAGATTTCATTACAGGGAAATTGATACGTGTTTTCTTCGGGATCAACGATGCGTGAGACGATCCACGCTGATCATTTATACATGCACGAAGTTTTTGGTGCAGATTAATGGTCGTCCAATGTTTATGCCACGAATTGAACTGTAGTTTCAGGGCAAAGATGACTGAAAGGGTAATGGGAGCAGAGATTCATCTCATTTCTTATCTTAAGACGTTGGATAAAATATGTCTGAAGGATTTCAGAAGAAATTTATGCACAATCTTTATTCAGATTTTTTTGCCTGATTTGTCAGAAGCTCAATCGAATAGTGTTTTTCGTATCATATTTCATTTTGCAACAATGAAGTTTAATATACAAAACGCCATAATGTTCCTTTACTCGTGAAATTTCAACATTGAAGCTACTGTATCGTGAAGAGAATCGATGCAGAAAATATCGATAACTAATGTGGCGGGGAACGCAATAAAACTAAATCAACCATTTTATTCGAAACATTCGACGATCATCGAAGAATGAAATATTGAATGAAAATTTTCATTTTTTTTTTTTTATGTTTAGCTAAATGTATAATGAATAAGTAACATAAACCGGTATATGAAATGCAATCAAACGATCGGTTTTATTCACTAGCATTTCTTTCTAACCGAGAGGTTTTATTTTCGTTTTTTATTGAAATTCATCAAACGAACGTAGTATTGTGTTTCCATTAGCTGTAGCTTCATCCTGATCCATTGTTCGCTATGATTGAAAACCGGCCACTTTACATCAAGAATATCAATAAAAAGTTTACATAGCAATTTTCTAGAAATTTCAAGTTTGATATCGAGGTTATATAAATGTCCTTTTCTGATACTTTTATCGTGAAATATACAGTGTTAGATGCTCCCCTATAGATACCACGAATCTGTCCGGAAGGTCGGCGACGCACGGTACTTGGACTCAGTTCCTTTTATCCCGAGTGGAATTTAAGTTTTTCACCTCCAATATTATTATTATGGGTAAAATTTTCTGCATTTTTTAGCTTCAAGTGGGCACAGTATAAATACCATTAGGAAATACCTTTGTGCCATGAAATTGTACATTGAATACTGAACGCGTTTGAAATTCCAACTAACAATATTGCGTGTCCCACGAGCAGACTTGTCGAATCAAACACACGGATCAAACTATACGAATTTTTCTTTTCACCAGAGCTGAAATTCGATATTTCCAGTCGTGGTTTTCAAAGCAACTGCGAGGCAGAGCAATAATTTGCCGAAGCATCCGCTCGTCGGGCAAAGTGGAAGCACGCGAATGGTGGCGTAAAATTTTCCAGGAATGAAAGGGAACTTTTTGCCACTCTACTCCTTGCCGTGGCGCCGGGAAATGAGAGGGAAGGAAAAATTACTGGGGTGAAAATTAATGAAAAATAACGACGACTTAACGCGACGAACGTTCGCCTTGTGAAAGGTGAGCAAGATGCAGAATTCACCTTGGAAATAGTCTCGAATTGCCATTACCAACGACTGCGCAATATCAAAGACAATTTCAAACTGATATTTTTTTTGATCGATGAAGTCGGGTCAATAGCGTCCAAATCGATACAATGATAAAATGTGGTTCAAACGTGAATAAATGAAACTTGCTTATTACGTTGCACGTGCCTGCTGAATCCTAAAAATGTGGAAAATCTTTTCCTTAAACAATAACGAAACCTGTCTGACCAGTTTCGTGCCGTGAATAAATTACTAATTGATGATTCCTTTGAGTAATTCCCGCAGTTCGATAAGTTCGTCGCTCAGTGTACCACGAGGTACCGAGGCCAGCGAAGAGATTCTAATTTAATTCGACCACCATTACCGCTGGTAACAATGGCACACATCTTTGGACACTTGTTGCTCTTGATAGCCATGGTGGCGATAGCGATCAGTATCGATTTCCCTGACAGAAACCAAACTTTTACACCACGTAAGCAATTTCGTAATAACTTTATACAAATTTACTTCGTTTTGTAATAACTTTAGACGAACAAATGATACATGGTAAACAGTTTCTGTTAATGTATCAATTGTTTGGATAAAATTATTATGAGAAAATTAGGTGCATAATTATTTACTTTATGTACTGTATAAGAATAGGATTTTTAAGTATGCTGATGACAACCAAGAGAGAGTGCCGAGATGGACAGCAAAGGAACCGTCTACAGAAGTGCCGCCCGGTCTTGGAAATAGTAAGTTGTATGACTTTACTTTGTTAGATCCCGGTTTCGTAAGTTAGGAATCCTCCTTAAAAATATTCCTAGATCTACGTCTTGTAGGTTAGGACGCCCTTTTGAAATATTACTAGATGCATCCCTTAGGACGCCCCCCTTGGAAATATCCCTAGATTTACGTCTCGTAGGTTAGGATATCCTTCGGAAATATCCCTAGATTTACGTCTCGTAGGTTAGGATGCCCTTTTGAAATATTACTAGATACATCCCTTAGGACGCCCCCCTTGGAAATATCCCTAGATTTATGTCTCGTAGGTTAGAATGCCCTTCGGAAATATCCCTAGATTTACGTCTCGTAGGTTAGGATGCCCTTTTGAAATATTACTAGATACATCCCTTAGGACGCCCCCCATGGAAATATCCCTAGATTTATGTCTCGTAGGTTAGGATGCCCTTCGGAAATATCCCTAGATTTACGTCTTGTAGGTTAGGGTGCCCTTCGGAATTATCCCTAGATCCACGCCTCGTAGGTTAGGACGCCCTTTTGAAATATTACTAGATGCATCCCTTAGGACGCCCCCTTGGAAATATCCCTAGATTTACGTCTCGTAGGTTAGAATGCCCTTCGGAAATATCCCTAGATTTACGTCTTGTAGGTTAGGGTGCCCTTCGGAATTATCCCTAGATCCACGCCTCGTAGGTTAGGACGCCCTTTTGAAATATTACTAGATGCATCCCTTAGGACGCCCCCTTGGAAATATCCCTAGATTTACGTCTCGTAGGTTAGAATGCCCTTCGGAAATATCCCTAGATCCACGCCTCGTAGGTTAGGACGCCCCTCCAAAATATCCCCAAATCCGCGTCTCATAGCCCTACGACCCCCCTTGGAAATATCCTCAAGTCTCCATCTCGTCGACATGAAATTCTCTGTGCAAAATCTCTGTCTAAATTGAAAAATTGATTTTTAGGAAACACCGCAGATATACTCATATAACATGGACGACGAACAACTCTAATCTTCTAGTTTTTGAATGAAATTTTCATTGAATTTTTCACCTCTTTTTTATTAATATCTGTAATACCACTTATCAGACTCCGATTATTATGGATTAATCATTCGAGATAGAAGATACAGGAAAACTGAGGGTACACTTTGATACAATTGTTCAAACGAATTAAACGAAATTCTGATGGTTTACACTCGGTCCGCTGGTGTATTTTAATAAATTATGTGGGAAGTGATTGAAATATTCTGTTAAATCGTTCGTTAAGCGATTGAAATTGATATCAGAGAATCCAGTGGTTTGTTCCTTCAATTGTTAATAACGAAATATACGTAACGAAATTTTGATTGATTTGCACATAATTATCGGTGCGTATAATGTTGTGTATAAATATATAAAATGTTAAAAAATTATTTATTGTTACTTGCGAATGAATATGGTGGAGGAAAATTGTACTAAATATATAATTATCTTATCATGTACTTATTGAATTACAGTACTTTTAGGCATCAAAAGTCTTATGAAATTCATTTTTATTTATTATATTTTAAAAAAAATGTACGAGAAATCAACATCAAAAATCAAATTCATTTTTTTATCGCTACCGTCATTAATCACCTGACCTACGGTTCACTGGTACGGTTGTAAATTATTTCTCGGCGACATTTCCGGTTCATCACCCACACTAAGCTACCTTATCGTAAGCCGTTATAAATCTTCCACTCCTTATCGACAACAGACTCGAATTACCATCGATCGCACCGATAAATTCTGTAATTTGCTCAAACCTGCATTACCGACTGAGTTAGCTACTAGTTGGTGCTGCGCTAGATCGGTATTCCAAACCAAACACAAATAAACATTTCTAGGGAATCCCAGAAATATAGGATATAAGTGATAATTAAATAATTATATTCCCAAACTAGAAATGTGTCATTTTGAAACACAGAATAATTACTGACAATAGAAAATCTTAAAAGCGCTAGGGAATCTTCAAGATCTAGGGAACCCTAGATATTTTAAGCCCAGAGTATTCAACTTGACAAGAAGAACAGAAGACCATAACAAAGAGGACTAATTACCAGAGTTAAAGGCCCAGAGTCAATTTTAACTCTGTTATTTCCTACATATTATATTTTTTAAATTATAGTAGTTAAAAATTGAATAATTGCAAGTCAGTACGCTTAATCAATCTTATAGATAGGGCAGACCATCCATCATTCCATTGAAAATACACGATCCAGATGATGTCACAGACCGTTATCGATCATTTTGTGGAAGTTGACCGAAAATTGGTCAGTGAAAAAGAAGAGGGAAGGCTGTCCAGCAGTTAACAATTTCCGCGGCGTGTGCATTCGCGCCAACTGTTGACCCCCGCCCGCGGCATTGACCACTTCACAGCAGCCTAATTTTCATTTATTGCGCAATTGATGCAATTAGATACGTCAATCGGTGGGATAATGGAACGGACGAGATAGGCACCGGCTGACAATGCAAAGTTAATCCAACTTCAAGCGGTCGGCTCGATGAAAACACGCTTGGCGTGGTGCTTCGTTGAACGACCCTGTCTACAGGGTGTCCATCAAGTATGGAATTTTACTCCCAAAAATGGGGACGTTTTCGAACTCATACTTCAAAGTGTACAAAATATTTATATATATTTTGAAACTGACAATACCTGACGAATATTTAAGTCCTAATTAAGTAATT